TTACAAAAAGTTTTTGTTATAACCTTGAGTCTATATGGAATCGATAGAGAATTTTTTTCTCTATCTTTTGGTATAAAAATAGTTATATTTTTCTTTTATTTTGTATTCACGATTTGAAAAACACGGACCCAATACCAAGACCCATTTTTGACTAAAACCTATATTTTCTGATATTTCATTACTTGGTCAAATTTGAACCAAATGACGTAAAAATTCTAGAATATATGTAAAAAACTATACTCTATCTAATGAGCCTATAAAAATGGGCACTTAGGGTGACAGGACCCCCCCCCCCCCCCTTAAGATGAGAATAACGTTCTTGATCAAGAATATCTTCAAATGCTCTATATAACAGTAAAGAATTAAATATACTTAAACAGATGTTAAACTCACGAATAACCAAACAACAAAATTATTCTCAATTTTCGTTTCCTTTTAACTTTCTGAAAAGACGAATATATCTCGGTTGTCGATAAGTTGTTGATGGATATGACATTGAGTTGGTAATTTTAGCAATACGATCTATGTGATAATATACACTCATGGTATTTGATATACCTGCGGTGGCAGACGGTTTTGATAAAAGAAGTTTCAACATCTTGGTCTAGGTAGAGTACAGTATTAATTTAAAAAATAACAAAGACAAGTCTACCGTTGCTTCCAAATACAGATTATGGAGAGTGTCACAAAGAAACGAGCTGTAAATATTAAAATATTTCAAGTGTCGAAACAGAGATGGTCCCTTGACACCTTGTAAATAATCAATGGCCTCTGCTTTTGAAAGAACTTTAGTCGAATTAGCCAATATGTAACCCTGAATATATATCTTTTAATAATAAATGTGTAAGAAACTGACTTACATTTTCAATAATCATCAATGAATTATCATAGGTTTTATTTGATCGTATGATTACTGTTTCGTTTGGATCAAAAGAAAAAGAACAAATAGTTGTATTTTTAACATCTACCGATCTACCTGCAGTTAAAGTAAATGCAAACTGATTTATAAAAGGCGTTCAGTATTTAAAGACACTACCGTACTTGAACATCAAAGGACGGAGAATGTTTTCCTTTCTTTTTGGCCCCCATAGAAAACATCATCAGTTCTTCATGAAACTTTCAGTAATTATAGGACTCATAGTTAGTAGTCACTCCTATAAATATCAGCTTGATCAGTTAAGCTTTTGCCTTACTTTGGGTGTTTGTCAGATGAGCCCCCAAATGACCTATATTAGTGACCTTGTGTACCTTCGATATCCACTATATGGTTCAGAACCAAAGCCATTTTTTCACTATCAATACCATTTATTAAGAGCTCCAAAAGTGCCCGAATAAGTGCCTGCAACAAATCTGCCTTCAATGTTTTATGAAGTACATACCACCTAAAATATGCCCTATAGTAGCATATAGAGAACCTTGTGTACCTTCGATCTCCATTATATGCTTCAGAACCAAAGTCATTTTTTTCAGCATCAATACCATTTACTAAGAGCTCCAAAAGTGCCCGAATAAGTGCCTGCAACAAATCTGTCTTCAATGTTTTATGAAGTACATACCACCTAAAATATGCCCTATAGTAGCATATAGAGACCCTTGTGTACCTTCGGTCTGCAGTATATGGTTCAGAATCAGTAGCATTTTTTTCAGCATCAATAATAAACATCAAGATCTACGAAACTATCGCAATATGTGACTACAGAACAACAGCACCGTGAACATCGTGTAGAATATATTATTTAATGGCGACTTTATTTGAAAAAAGTCGAAGATACTAACATCATATACTTATGATTTACTCACGAGTTGAATTAAGAATGTGATACGTAATATTTCAAAGCTCTATTTCGATGACTTATAATACAGGGAAGCGGTGCACCGAAAGTGTAAGAAATTGTTTATATAACGTTTTTGAATAAAAAAAACGGCACAACTAAATATTTGCGTGCTTCTGTGAGAAAGAAAAAAAAACGAAAAATACACACTTTTCATTGATTAACGTTAAAAACTATTGCAATACATGACGTACTGGTTTTTCTCCATTAATATATATGTGTGTGCTTGGGTTTTGTTCTTTTCTTTCTTCAAATAAGTCACAGGTTTTATCCGTTCTGATGCATCATATATATACCCTCTATCTTTCTCTTCGCTTGTATGTTCTAGTTCTCGTTTCGTTGTACGTTGAATATATTCAGCTCATTTTCATTAAAATCGATTTATTGAGGCACTAACAATCATAATACGAATTACTTAGATAAAAATGGTTATCGAATGTGTTTGTTGCGATACTCGTATTGATTCGAAGAATTATCGTCCATTTCATGGTATAGCGATGCGTTTGTTTGTTTCTGCGCGAACAAATTTGTATTTGCGAGACTCTGGATCGATATGTAATGCTTGTCGAATGTCTTATTTAAAATGACGTAATAATACTGAATTTATTAGCGTGTTAAATCGTCTTGAAGAGGAAGAACCAAACGAATCTATGATGGGCATCGACGATAAAGTAAGATTATCTGATCTTATAGTTATCATTACATTTCGATTATTTTTTTAGGATGATGATGGAAATAATGAATATGTAACAGCAGCGCCATCAAATGATCCGATTGACACAAATGTTGTAACTTTACCGTTGAATATTAGTGTTTCATCTCATCAGTATGTTTTTGATAAGAGCAGTTAATATAAATGGGATACTTTTGTATTGTAGTCATTGTGTAGTTTGTCGAGAGAATGTGAATTCAACATGTACCGTTTCTGATGAAGATCGAGATCTTCTATTTATGCAAAGCAATATTTTTATTCCAAAAGGTAGTCGATGTTGTCCAGATCACGTTGTTGATGGACGTTTAATTAATGATAATTTAAATAAAATTCGTCCTCGCGACATTATGCAAACATCTTTCTCTGCCACCGATATATTAACATGGTTGGGCAAATTTCGAAATCATTATAACTCAATTCGATATTTTGACTTTGATCCTCCTTTCTCAATGTCAGAATCTGATTGTTACAATTTAACTGGGATTTCAAAAGCAAACTTTGACCACCTAGTCAAATTACTGGCCGATTCTAACATTAAAAATTCATCTAATCGTTCATTTCGTAATGCAGTTGGACTTTTCCTAACAAAACCTAGGCTAGGCATTAGCAACAAAGTGCTTACTACCATTTTTCAATTTTCGAATTCTCAAGCTGTTTCTCGTACTCTTGCTGCTGTTCGTCAAGCTATGTTAACGCACTTCGTACCTCACTATCTTGGTTTTAATCACATTTCTCGTCAAGAAGTGATTGACAATCATTCTTCTCCACTTGCTACTCAATTATTAACTGACAAACCAAATACAGTTGTACTCGTGATTGACGGTACATACTTGTATATACAGGTACGTAATGTATTAACTATTTTGTGACACACATCTAAGCAGTTCAGTATGAGAAATCAGATTCGTGGCTATCGTTATGTGTTTCTAGATACTATAACCAAAGATCAAAAGGTAATCCTCATCCAACGTAAACTCATATAATAGGATCGAACTCATTTTGACAAAACTTGTAAATACGTGTTACATATATCGTAGTTGGGAGTCTACAAAAGCTGTGATGATCTGATATCCTGACTTTTTCCTTTTTATCGTAGAGAAACGCTACGAAACTTGTTTATTTCTTAAAACACTATATAAAATAAATAAAAACTTAAAAAGGAATAGTTTTCCTAAAAGAGGCATCACCTTATTCTCGATAGGTCATTTTTTTCAATGGTCGACGAGACTAAAATATCGATTTTTGTAGTTGGTGATGAATAAGTTTGTTGCATTTTTAGAAGAGTCGGAACAATGAATTACAACGACGAACATACAATATTCACAAGCACCGATCTCTTGTTAAACCGCTATTGATTACTACTACCACAGGTTACATTATAGCAGCGTATGGACCTTATCTATCACACAATTCAAATAATGACGCAGCTATACAAAAGATATTCTAATTAAAAACAAAGATGGCATTTTAGATTGGATTGCTGAACATGATCTTGCTGTCGTTGATCGGGGTTTTAGAGATAGTACCGGGATGATGCGAGCACTAGGTCTTGATGCATGTATGCCGGATTTTTTAAATGGTCGGCATCGATTCGATGCACTTGAGGCAAATCGATCACGCTTTATTAGTAAGATTCGTTGGGTTGTTGAATCGGCAAATGGTCGTGTGAAGCATTTCAAATGGCTAGATCAGACCATTCAAAATACAACAATCCCGCAAATACGTGATTATCTTCAAATTGCCTGTGCTTTAGTTAATGCCTATCGTGCTTCAGCAATTTCTTCTTTTTCTAATTATGATCAAATTGCTACTAAACTGTTGGCGCATCTTCATGAACCAAACTTACTTCGTACACGTCTTAATAATGAAGTTCTCCGATGGTCGAACGATGATGCTTCAAATCTTGTTGGTTTTCCTATTCTTACAATTGATCAAATTCGATTAATCACTGTTGGTATGTAGCAGAAATACCTATGCTCTCTAGATATCTCTTAACTATTTTGCTTCTACCATTGATCTCAAAACGAGAAAACCCTCTTTCTGAAATACTATAATCTTTGTCTTAAAAACGAAAAGAAACAGAATAAACATCTTTAGAATAGTTAGCCAAAGAAAATACCGTTTTGATTCTCGAAGAGCAACTATTTTTCTTAACTTTATTTACAAGGCAAACTAAAGATTTATACTTTCACAGGATCCTTTAACAAAAAATGTACTTGAAAAAAACTTCAACTTAAGAGTCAGTTCTTTCTATGAAATTTTTTTTCGGTACCAATAATTAGTACTGAGGATACGCATTAACTAGCATATGAACTTTGCGTCTACATAGGTATTATATTGACGCAAGTTATTTGAGATATCTTTATATCTGTAGGTGAATCTTTTCACTGATATTTTCTTATCATTTTTAAAGGCATATTTCAATTGAAGCAAGCACGAGCTTATTCAGAAGAACATTGTTCAGCCACAGATTTGAATAATCAGGCAGATTTTCCTCTACAAATCTGCAATACAGATGGTCAACTTATACGAATTCGCTTCCAATCTCGTCATAGCAATGCAAAATTATATTATACTTATATTCAATTTTCCACAGAAGAAATTCTGAACAGCTGCTGTGATTATCCAATTGGTGACAGGCAAGTTGGTGTATGTTCACATCGTGCAGCTGCGATATGGTTCTTAGCATATTAGCGTCATCAGTATGATATTTCAAGAAATCAACCATCCGGCGCATACTTGCGTTTACTTGATGATAGTGAATTGATAGATGATTTTGTTGACTCATCCGATGAAGATGATCTTTTATATTCATTTTCATGAACAACAATAACTAAGCGAATAAAAACTCCTCATATCTTTCACGGACACCATAATTGACAAACAAAGTCATAGAGGGGTGTAGTGTATTTATCATATCTGATTTTTGACGACTCAAACGTCCAATTAGTAGCAGGCATAGATCTGAACAGCAGTATATGTAGAAATACCACTATCAACAATGAGAAACAGCTTCGTTATCGTAAAACTCAATCAAAATACAGGTGAGTATTACGACAAAAGTCTACGTTATATCGCCCTAAAACAAAGTTCAAATCAGACATACTGTATTTGAACTACAATAAAATAAAAACAAAACTCCAGAGGAATTCTCATGAAATATCCACTTAGGAAATTATTTACCTCCCTCCAAAATAATAAACATCATAGATATCGGATACCACTTCTCCATGCTCCAGCCACAAGATGGTTGGTATGCTATGAGAAAAGATTACAAGACAGCTTTTTTCCAGCACTTGTTCAGCCAATGTTACAGCTCTGAATAAATAGTATTCATGCTGAAAAAATGGCTTTGGTTCTGAACCATACAGTGGAGATCGAAGGTACACAAGGTCCTCTATACGCTACTATAGGGCATATTTTAGGTGGTATGTACTTCATAAAACATTGAAGGCAGATTTGTTGCAGGCACTTATTCGGACACTTTTGGCGCTCTTAATAAATGGTATTGATGCTGAAAAAATGGCTTTGGTTCTGAACCATATAATGGAGATGGAAAGTACACAAGGTCACTAATATAGGTCATTTGGGGGCTCATCTGACAAACACATAAAGTAAGGCAAAAGCTTAACTGATCAAGCTGATATTTATAGGAGTGACTACTAACTATGAGTCCTATAATTACTGAAAGTTTCATGAAGAACTGATGATGTTTTCTATGGGGGCCAAGAAGAAAGGAAAACGTTCTCCGTCCTTTATTTTAGATAGGTTAGTCATCTTATACTAGGTGGCTTATTGAAGGCGAATTGTCGAAGACTATTGTTCATGGCGACAGATTTGAACCAAAACTTTGTTTCGTACATTCTTTAAATCAAATAGTCCTTGGTGTAGATAAAGGCAAGATTGGACGTTACAAGTATTATAAAAAATGAAAATTGTCTAAATCCTTTCGTTAATGTGATATGGAAACAAACAGAGACCTTATGTTCAACATCGTTTGGC